ATACACGCCATCCAGGCTCACACATCACATACCAATCACCCGTATTGCATATATCCCTCCATACGACACATCCAATCTCATGTATCACAGTTCACATAGGCTACTATCACAAAATGCACACCACACATCTCATATTACACGTCCTACATCACATAGCTAGCACAATACCACAAACCGCATATCACACATCACATATACCACATATCCCATATATTCCATATCGTACACCGCTCACCACACCTTACAAAACCACTCACCGCATCATATAGCCGAGCGAGCTTCAGGTCTGTCCCCGTCGCATGCGCTTCTTTTCCAAACTTAAACAAATGTATATTCGAGTGGTTGTAACGCGCGGTTACCACACGAACCCCGTCCTCCAGATTCTCGAAGTGCCCCACATAGTCATACTGTATTTGATCCAAGGAGCAGAGATCCACTTGAGGGGTGATGTGTCGATCCAGGGGTTTCTGCCCCCTTATAAGGTGCTCCACTAAGCGCATAAAGTCGTGGAAGGATACGAGCTGCGTGGCTGGGTCTTTGAGCAGGTCTAGGAAGGGCTGTATGGTTCCGAACAGTTCCTGTTTGGAGCAGATGAAGGGAAGGGAAGGGGAAGGCAGGGAAGAAAGGAGAAGGGAAGAAAAGGAAGGAGGGCGAAAGGGAAGGAAGGAGAAGGGAAGGGAAGGGAAGGAGGCGAAGAGAGGGTCTTTGAGAATCGTTCAGACTAGCAGCTCCTGTTGAAGCAGTCGGAGATAGGGGGAAGGGACGGGAGGGAGGGGAAGGCATGGGGAGGAAGGAAGGGAGGGAGGAGAAAAGAGGATGTTTGGTAAGAAGGTCTAAGAAGGTATAAGAAGGTCTAAGAAGGGCGGTAAGGTTCTGCATAACTCCTTCCACTCCTGTCTCTCGTTCATTGCCCCCACTAATAACCCACTCAACCACCCTCCTTCCCTCCCACCCCCCTTTCCCACCCTCCCACGCACCTTGTTCCAGAACTCCCTCGTGCCCCATCCTTTTGTGGGATCTGGAGCGTCCGTCACCACCAGTTTGTTGAGGTAAGTCGAAACCACCCTTGAGAACGGATTGAGGTAAGTCGAACCCACCCTTGAGAACGGATTGAGGTAAGTCGAACCCACCCTTGAGAACGGATTGAGGTAAGTCGAACCCACCCTTGAGAACGGATTGAGGTAAGTCGAACCCACCCTTGAGAACGGATTGAGGTAAGTCGAACCCACCCTTGAGAACGGATTGAGGTAAGTCGAACCCACCCTTGAGAACGGATTGAGGTAAGTCGAAACCACCCTTGAGAACGGATTGAGGTAAGTCGAACCCACCCTTGAGAACGGATTGAGGTAAGTCGAACCCACCCTTGAGAACGGATTGAGGTAAGTCGAACCCACCCTTGAGAACGGATTGAGGTAAGTCGAACCCACCCTTGAGAACGGATTACGCACGAATGTGAACTTGAACAGGCCTCGCCCTCGCTCCTATTGGTGCGACTTTTGAGAATTCTCAAAAGTATGTTGATACAACCCTTGAGAACGGATTGCGCACAAATGTGAACTTGAACAGACCTTGTTCCACAACTCCCTCGTCCCCCATCCTTTCGTGCGATCTGGAGCGTCCGTCACAACCAGCTTGTTCAGGTACGTTGATACAACCCTTCTTTTCACCCTCTTTCCCTCCCTCACACGCACCTTGTTCCAGAACTCCCTCGTTCCCCATCCTTTCGTCCCGTCAGGAGCGTCTGTCACAACCAGCTTGTTGAGGTACGTTGATACAACCCTTGAAAACGGATTGCCCACAAATGTGAACTTGAACAGGCCTCGCCCTCTCTCTCCCACGCACCTTGTTCCACAACTCCCTCGTCCCCCATCCTTTCGTGCGATCTGGGGCGTCCGTGACCACCAGCTTGTTCAAATAAGTCGACACCACCCTTGAGAACGGGTTCCGCACGAACGTGAACTTGAACAGCACAGGGCTCCCTTCACGCACCCACCTTATTCCAAAACTCTCTTGTCCCCCATCCGTCTTTCCCTCCCTCACACGCACCTTATTCCAAAACTCTCTTGTCCCCCATCCTTTCGTCCTGTCAGGTGCGTCTGTGACCACCAGCTTGTTGAGGTACGTGGAAACCACCCGTGAGAACGGGTTCCGCACGAATGTGAACTTGAACAGTCCCCGCCGCGTCATCGCTCGCGTCGCCTCTTTCTCGGTAAACTTCTGGGAAAGGTCCCCCAGCCCGCTGCCCTCGTAGCTGTGTGCGAGGAAATGGTCTTCTGGCTTGGGCAGGTGCAGCATGGCTCGTAGCCACATGCGCCAACTGGTGCAGGCGACCTTGGGGAGACCGCAGTAGGCGAGATTGAGTGATGCTGTTGAGGAGGGGGAGGGGGGAGACAGTTGGTTTGGAGGGTGCAAGGCGGTTGAGAATGGTTATTGGGAGGCGGAGGAAAGTCACCCACTTCTCTCTGGGACCGGTCGCCTCCTTCTCGGTGAATTTCTGAGAGAGGTCCCCCAGCCCGCTGCCCTCGTAGCTGTGTGCCAGGAGATTGTCCTCCGGCTTGGGCAGGTGCAGCATGGCTCGTAGCCACATGCGCCAACTGGTGCAGGCGACCTTGGGAAGCCCACAGTAGGCTAGATTGAGAGAAGCTGTAGCGTGAAGACAGTCAGAATAGGGAGGAGGATACAGGGGGGAAAGGTAAAGGGGGGTGAGGGGGGGTGTAACTGTGAGAGTGCCTGCAGAGCCTCCTTCTCGGTGAGCTTCTGGGAGAGGTCCCCCAGCCCACTGCCCTCGTAGCTGTGTGTGAGGAAATGGTCCTCCGGCTTGGGCAGGTGCAGCATGGCTCGTAGCCACATGCGCCAACTGGTGCAGGCGACCTTGGGAAGCCCACAGTAGGCTAGATTGAGAGAAGCTGTAGCGTGAAGACAGTCAGAATAGGGAGGAGGATACAGGGGGGAAAGGTAAAGGGGGGTGAGGGGGGGTGTAACTGTGAGAGTGCCTGCAGAGCCTCCTTCTCGGTGAGCTTCTGGGAGAGGTCCCCCAGCCCACTGCCCTCGTAGCTGTGTGTGAGGAAATGGTCCTCCGGCTTGGGCAGGTGCAGCATGGCTCGTAGCCACATGCGCCAACTGGTGCAGGCGACCTTGGGAAGCCCACAGTAGGCTAGATTGAGAGAAGCTGTAGCGTGAAGACAGTCAGAATAGGGAGGAGGATACAGGGGGGAAAGGTAAAGGGGGGTGAGGGGGGGTGTAACTGTGAGAGTGCCTGCAGAGCCTCCTTCTCGGTGAGCTTCTGGGAGAGGTCCCCCAGCCCACTGCCCTCGTAGCTGTGTGTGAGGAAATGGTCCTCCGGCTTGGGCAGGTGCAGCATGGCCCGCAGCCACATGCGCCAACTGGTGCAGGCCACTTTAGGGAGACCACAAAAAGCAAGATTCAGTGACGCTACAACGAAAAAAGCCGATTGGCACAGGGAAGAGAAGGGCAGGTGGGTGAGCACAAAGCGTTGACGAGGAAGTGGTCCTCCGGCATGGGCAGGTGCAGCATGGCTCGCAGCCACATGCGCCAACTGGTGCAGGCCACCTTGGGGAGACCGCAATAGGCTAGGTTGAGCAATGCTGTGGAGGGGGGAAGTTGGGGTTTTGAGGCGTTTCAAGAGTCGCAATGCTGTGGAGGGGGGAAGTGGGGGTGCAAGGAGAGGGAAGGGAGGACGAGGTGGGTGGGTTGGGTGTAAGCCATAAAATGGTCTTTCGTCTTGGCAGGTGCAGCATGTCCCGTAACCACATGCGCCAACTGGTGCAGGCGACCTTGGGAAGCCCACAGTAGGCTAGATTGAGAGAAGCTGTAGCGTGAAGACAGTCAGAATAGGGAGGAGGATACAGGGGGGAAAGGTAAAGGGGGGTGAGGGGGGGTGTAACTGTGAGAGTGCCTGCAGAGCCTCCTTCTCGGTGAGCTTCTGGGAGAGGTCCCCCAGCCCACTGCCCTCGTAGCTGTGTGTGAGGAAATGGTCCTCCGGCTTGGGCAGGTGCAGCATGGCTCGTAGCCACATGCGCCAACTGGTGCAGGCGACCTTGGGAAGCCCACAGTAGGCTAGATTGAGAGAAGCTGTAGCGTGAAGACAGTCAGAATAGGGAGGAGGATACAGGGGGGAAAGGTAAAGGGGGGTGAGGGGGGGTGTAACTGTGAGAGTGCCTGCAGAGCCTCCTTCTCGGTGAGCTTCTGGGAGAGGTCCCCCAGCCCACTGCCCTCGTAGCTGTGTGTGAGGAAATGGTCCTCCGGCTTGGGCAGGTGCAGCATGGCCCGCAGCCACATGCGCCAACTGGTGCAGGCCACTTTAGGGAGACCACAAAAAGCAAGATTCAGTGACGCTACAACGAAAAAAGCCGATTGGCACAGGGAAGAGAAGGGCAGGTGGGTGAGCACAAAGCGTTGACGAGGAAGTGGTCCTCCGGCATGGGCAGGTGCAGCATGGCTCGCAGCCACATGCGCCAACTGGTGCAGGCCACCTTGGGGAGACCGCAATAGGCTAGGTTGAGCAATGCTGTGGAGGGGGGAAGTTGGGGTTTTGAGGCGTTTCAAGAGTCGCAATGCTGTGGAGGGGGGAAGTGGGGGTGCAAGGAGAGGGAAGGGAGGACGAGGTGGGTGGGTTGGGTGTAAGCCATAAAATGGTCTTTCGTCTTGGCAGGTGCAGCATGTCCCGTAACCACATGCGCCAACTGGTGCAGGCGACCTTGGGAAGCCCACAGTAGGCTAGATTGAGAGAAGCTGTAGCGTGAAGACAGTCAGAATAGGGAGGAGGATACAGGGGGGAAAGGTAAAGGGGGGTGAGGGGGGGTGTAACTGTGAGAGTGCCTGCAGAGCCTCCTTCTCGGTGAGCTTCTGGGAGAGGTCCCCCAGCCCACTGCCCTCGTAGCTGTGTGTGAGGAAATGGTCCTCCGGCTTGGGCAGGTGCAGCATGGCTCGTAGCCACATGCGCCAACTGGTGCAGGCGACCTTGGGAAGCCCACAGTAGGCTAGATTGAGAGAAGCTGTAGCGTGAAGACAGTCAGAATAGGGAGGAGGATACAGGGGGGAAAGGTAAAGGGGGGTGAGGGGGGGTGTAACTGTGAGAGTGCCTGCAGAGCCTCCTTCTCGGTGAGCTTCTGGGAGAGGTCCCCCAGCCCACTGCCCTCGTAGCTGTGTGTGAGGAAATGGTCCTCCGGCTTGGGCAGGTGCAGCATGGCCCGCAGCCACATGCGCCAACTGGTGCAGGCCACTTTAGGGAGACCACAAAAAGCAAGATTCAGTGACGCTACAACGAAAAAAGCCGATTGGCACAGGGAAGAGAAGGGCAGGTGGGTGAGCACAAAGCGTTGACGAGGAAGTGGTCCTCCGGCATGGGCAGGTGCAGCATGGCTCGCAGCCACATGCGCCAACTGGTGCAGGCCACCTTGGGGAGACCGCAATAGGCTAGGTTGAGCAATGCTGTGGAGGGGGGAAGTTGGGGTTTTGAGGCGTTTCAAGAGTCGCAATGCTGTGGAGGGGGGAAGTGGGGGTGCAAGGAGAGGGAAGGGAGGACGAGGTGGGTGGGTTGGGTGTAAGCCATAAAATGGTCTTTCGTCTTGGCAGGTGCAGCATGTCCCGTAACCACATGCGCCAACTGGTGCAGGCGACCTTGGGAAGCCCACAATATGTGAGGTTGAGAGAAGCTGCTGAGTGGGACAGTGGGTTTGGGGGGTGCAGGGGAGTTGGGGAGTGGATAGAGGGAGATGCAGCATGGCCCGCAGCCACATGCGCCAACTGGTGCATGCCACCTTGGGAAGACTGCAACATGCGAGGTTGAGCGAAGCTGCTATGCATGGGGTGGTGTGGCATGAGAACACGGGACAGTTGGAGGGGGGTGGAGGCGGGTGGGAGGGATGGAAGGGATGAGAGACGAGTGGCAGACAGGTGGAAGCAAGTGCAGTGCAGGGAGGGGGGCTCATGGGTGGATGGATGGATGGGTGGGTGCATGTGCATGACATGGGATGGCATGGAAAAAGGCAGGGCATGAGACAGCATTGCACTTACGTTCGACCACAAAGAACTTGGCAAAGAGTTGACGGGGGATGGGAGGGATGGGGGATGTGTGGCAGACGGGAGGCAGCATGCGGAAGGAGGGGTTGCGGGCGAGGGCTCGGGCGCGAATGAAGTCTCCTGCTGGCGATGGTCGCATGTGCAGCATGGCTTGTGTGTTGGCGAGAAGGAGTAGTTCGGCAAACTGTAAAAGGGGAGAGGGACGGAAGGGTATAGGAGGGGTATTGGAGGGAGGGGTATAGGTGGGACACGGGAGGGGAATACAAAGGACATATGTGATGGTCATACGTTGAGACGTCCACATATGCATGCATCCATTCATACTTAATGTATCTACTTATGAATTCGTGCATGTATCCACAATGGTGCAAGAATTCTCAAGAATTCATACTTGATTTCGAGAATTCTACCACAAGTAGATGCGCGTTTTTATTTATTTATTTATTTATTTATCTTAAGGTTGGTTTTGAGAATTCTTAAAATCAACCCACAAGTAGATGCATGGACAAGCGCACGCGCGCGCGGACACACTCACGTGCCTCTCACCTCATGCTGTTGACACGCGATCAGCGCCCTCCTTGCTCTCTCCACTGCGCAAAAAGCTAAAAAAAGAGCCAAGTGATTTCGAGACGTCTCAAAACCACCCTTATTTCACGTGGCTAAATATGAACCAAGTGAGGTTCTCCCCTCCGCAGCCCACCTGTACCCCCTCAACACAAGCAAGCCTCTCACTCACCTCATGTTGTTGACACCCGATCACCACTCTCCTCGCCCTCTCCACTGCCCCAGCATCCACTCTCTTTGCCTCCTCCACCACACCAACCGCCTCCTTCCCCCTTTCTGCCACCATCCCTATCACAGCAACCAACTCATCCACACTCACATTCGCATACTCCTGCCTCCCCTTCGCTCCCCCTCCTCCCCCAACCTCTCCTCCCTCTCCTCCCCCTCCTCTCCCTCCTCCCCCTCCTCCCCCTCCTCCTCCCACACCCGTTGCGCCACCCATCTGAGCTTCCGAGCCTGGCGTGCCCGGCAGCTTCGGTCCACCAGGTCCGGCGGCCAAACCAGGTTCAGGATCCATCAGGCCCGGCGTGGCCATGAGCTTCTTTATCGCAGGTTCGGTGCACCTGGCCGCTCTAAACTCGGCAGATGGGGACATGAAAGGGGCGCGATTCGGGTCGAAGAAATCGGCAACTGCAGTGGGATGGGAAGGGTCTTGGGACGCGATGGTGAGTTCGATCGACGGGCGGCGCAAAATCTCCATCGCGATGCTCCGGGCAGCGCAGTCGGAAATTTGCCTGCCCGGCGGGCAGCCGGAGCAGGATGATTGGTCGGAGGGCGGCTGGGAGGGTTGGGGGAAGGTGGGAGGAAAGGAGAGAGAGCAAGTGTGAGGAAGAGGCCATTAAGAGAAACTAACAACGTTTGAGATTTAGGAAAAAAAAGCAGACACAGGATACAACGTGTGCTAGGAATCGGAGGAACAGGAGGAAGCAGGAGGAAGCAGGAGGAAACAGGAGGAAGAGTAGGGTTAGAGGTGCATACATCAACATAGACGGCGGTGCTCTAGGTAACATGAGTGTGCGCTGATGAAGGCCTTTGTTGGCCGAAACACGTTCGCACACGCATCCGGGCCTATGTAGCTTTCTGACTAATCGACCCTTTGTTTACTACTTCCCTCGTTTTTCCAGAAGAATAGGATTAGTAGCGATCTAGACTCTTAGTAGGCTTGCAGCGGTTCGAATCCATATGTTCTCAACCAAGGTGCATACATCAACATACATGGCAGAGTGCTCTAGGTACCATGAGTGTGCGCGTGCATTATAGAGAGAAAAGGAGAGAAGGAGCAGGAGGGAGAAGGGGAAGTAGAGAGGTAGGGGTACATACGTCAACATAGATGGCGGTGCTCTGAGTGACAAGTGTCATGTTGAGATTGGTTGACTCCACGATGCCTCTCACTGTCTCCGAGGGCTGCAGGCGAGCGTAGCAGCGGTGAAACTCCTCCAACACTAAACACCCCACCACCTTCTCCTGTTGTTGGGAGAATGCCAAAGCAGTGGGAAAGCATGAGGGAAGGCATGAGGGAAGGAGGAGGGATGCAGGCGAGCGTAGCATGGTGAAACTCCTCCAACACCAGACACCCCACCACCTCCTCCTGTAGTATGTGAGAGGTGAAGAGCGGAGAGAGGTCAGGGAAGGGCGGCTGCAGGCGAGTCTAGCAACGGTGAAACTCCTCCAACAGCAAACATCCCACCACCTTCTCCTGTCGTTGGGAAGAGAGAAATTGATTTGGGCAGCACAAAAGGGGGGCATGGGAGGCACGAAGGGAAGGGAGGGTTGCAGGCGAACGTAGGCAGTGAAACTCCTCCAACACCGAACACCCCACCACCTTCTCCTGTTGTTGGGGGAAATCTGGTGTGAATGAGTGCCCGCACGCACGGCCATCCACACGTGCAGAGAGACATGTACCCTGCACCCTCTGCCTATAGCCTCGGCCCACACCCTCCACCTCCTACCCACTTACTCCCTCCCCTCCCCACTCACAAAGTTGGTGCGGGTGAGGGCCCGCACAGACACCCACACGTCCAGGGCCAGCCCCTTGGCGCCCTGCACTGTGGGCTCCAACCCTTCTCCGCCCACCCACACGCTCCCGCCCCCAGCACTCACGAAGTTGGTGCGGGTGAGGGCCCGCACAGACACCCACACGTGCAGGCACAGCCACTCCGCGCCCTCCATGCAAATCCTTTGCCCGAACCTTCCACCTCCTACCTAGTAGTACCTACCCCATTACGTCCTCCCGTCCTCCCCCACTCACGAAGTTGGTGCGGTTGAGGGCTCGCACAGACACCCACACGTCCAGGGACAGCCGCTCCGCCTCAGAGGGGTCTAGGGCTGCGCTGCTGCGCCCACACTGCCCAAACCGCATCTGGTGTGTGTGTGGGGGGAAAGGGAGGGGAGGGTGCCGGGGGTAACAGGGGAGAGGTCGAGATGGGGGCAGAACCACACGTCCAGAGAGAGCCGCTCCGCTTCTGAGGGGTCGAGCGCTGCGCTGCTGCGCCCGCACTGCCCAAACCGCATCTGGTGTTTGGGGGGAGGGGGAGGGAAGGGGAAGTGGGAAGGGAGAAGGAGGGTCGCGGTCGCTCCGCTTCTGAGGGGTCCAGTGCTGCGCTGCTGCGCCTGCACTGTTCAAACCACATCGGGTGTGGCCAGGAGGGGGGGAAGGGGAGAAGGAGGGTGGGTGGGGGGGCCAACGCAGCGCTCCGCTTCAGGGCGGTCCAGCGCTGCGCTGCTCCGCCCGCACTGCCCAAACCGCATCTGCAGGGACTTTTTCAGAATTCTAAAAAAATCCCTGCAGATGCGGGCGTATTGCCCTCAACGTTAAGGGCAATGCGGGCGTGGAGAGAGATGCAGGTGCTCATGATTGCTTTAACGCCTAAAAAATACACTTACTTCACAAGGAAATGTTGAAGAGGAAGGGGGGGCGCAAGGGCAATGTGGGCGTGGAGAGAGATGCAAGTGCTCAAGATTGCCTTAACGCCCTTCACCGTACCGTCTTGGGCACAAACGGGTGCGCGAGAAACGCTCTCGTGGCTGTAACGGGCGACAGCGCTCCCCCCGTATCAATCACCACGGGCCCGCCCCCCCGTCCGCCCCCTTTCGCCCCGCCTCCCCCTCTTTCCCCCGCCATAGTCACTTCCCCCCCCGCCCCCCGCTTCGGCTCTCTCCTTCCCCACGAGAATTTCCCCCTTGACCGCCCGCTCCCTCCCCCTGCGCTTCCCCCGCTCGCTCCCCCTCCGCCGCCCAGAAGAATCTCGCTGGGTGGCACGTAGATCATCCCCTCGTCTTTTAGCCAAACGACACGGAGAGAGAGGCGGGAAATGGCGGCGGTGGCGTTGGCTAGGCAGAGGGTTTGAAGGCGGCTCGAGAGCGGGCCCATGGCGAATGCGATCATTTTGTATCGCGAGCACGTCGCAGCGCTGGGGGATTCGTCGCACGGGTCGCGCAGCTCGTCGCGCACGAGCATTCGTCGGCTGTCGCCATCGTCGTCGTCTGCAAAATCAATGTATTTCGCGTAGCGTCGCAGGAGCGACGAATGGTGCAAGAATGCGATCGCCGTTAGGATGAAAATCGTCGCAGGAACGAGAGTCGCCTTGCGACGCCATAGCGATGCTTTTGATCCAGTTTTAGTCGCAGGCGATTTTCGAGAACCTCTCGAAGTTTCCCCTGGAGTACTATTATTTGGTCTAGGTATCTCCGTTACAGCCATATCTTGCAATTACTTAACTAGCCCTAATCAGAGAATTTACCATGAACCATCGTAATTGTCCTAATCGTGCGAAGAATGTGGTAAGTTAGTTAGCTAGGAAAATGCAGGCAACGGCCATATGCTTGGATCTAGCCGACGCGCCTTCTCTTAGCTTGAAGCCTAGAGATCAGCGAGCACAGGTTGGGACCGTGGGGCACTGGATCATGTTGTGATTGGAGAGTTTGTGAAACATTGTGTTGTGTCCTCCTGACAGCAATTGAGGGATTATCCATCATATGCCGATATCTGAGCACTATGCAAGGCGTATACATTTCAAACGAGGATGGAATGACGCGATTTTGGCGGGAAGATGGTGGCGAGGCGACCCGGTGCGCGAACGACTGGCCTCCCTTCCGCGGGAACCCTGAGCTGGCGAAGCACTGCGGGATTTCCTGATTTTGAATTTATAGTGAACACCTGGTCACATTCCATGATCGAGTCGATACAGAACATGCTTGTTTCGCGTATTCGAGACAACCTCACCACTGTCCTCGAAGCTTTTTGCAACTTCCCAATTCTACACTCGTGCTGCAGAGACCGAGCCGCATCCTTATTTCATTGAATCTCTTTTCAACAAACCAACCAAATCAGCTGAACACATACACCAAACAGCAAGCGGAGGTTTCCTCGAGGCACATTTGCCCCTTTCGCAAAAATCAGACGGCGATTCCTCGTACAGCAGCAGCAGATAGAATTGCGGAGAGAATGACGGCTGACCTGCAAATCCACTTTCATAGGCTGCTGGATGAGCCGCCCTCTTTCTTGCGACTTTCCGACGAACGCGGCGACAGTATGTCGCATTCGCCGCATGACACTACTGTGAAGTACCCTCAGACAGAGGCGCGTGAAAGTCCACACGAACGCCATCGGAAGAAAGGCTCGCTGCGTACGCACAGCAGTCCTGGCAGCAGCAGCCGCAGCCTGAGCAAATCTGGCTCTGGAAATACTAGCGACCGTGACTGTGAACTCCACGAGGCTAAAAAATCCTAGGCCGTGCGAAAGTATTGTTTCGCGCGCTTGAATCAGAAGCCTGGCGTGACCTCTTATTTCGGACATTCCTCCAGTCACAGAGCTGCGCAGCAGAAAATCAGAAAACAAGTGCACCATCCCATCCCAGAGAGCCTAGTTATTTCAAGCTCCCAAAGTCTTGTCGTACGATCAAACGTCCCAAATAGTAGAGAAACCAGAGCGTATTACTGGAAATTTGGCGGTTGTGAGTGTTGGAGGTGACCGAGAGTGCGCCGCCAGCGGCCTCTCACACCAGGACGCACGGATTGGAGCCCTCGATTCATTCGAGGCGCGTACCACGAGTCGTCATCATGGTGCGTGGATCAGGGTGTTACTCGAAGCTCCGAAACGCGAAAGAGGAATCGTACAATGCTGAATCTGTTTTTGGAGAATTCTCAATGAACAGATTCGCACCACGAGTCGTCATCATGGTGCGTGGATTGGGGTGTCACTCGAAGCTCTGAAACGCCGGATTCAGCCTGGATAAATCCGGAGAAATCATTACGTTTTCATACTGATCAACCATGCAACATTTGGGCAATTCCGAGCTTGAAAACAGCTGTCACGGCTTGCCTTTCCATCTCTCAGCTCTTTTACTGACGATCTGTGATCCCAACAGACTTCTTAAGGCCGGTTTGATGTTCAGAGTATCGTAGAAGCCTCTGACTCTCTCTCTCTCTCCCCGCCTCCCTCTCTCAACTCGTGGTGTGCAGGGTCCTGTGCTGGTTCCGCGCTTCGGAGAGTGGAACGAAACGCCTCTTTCGCCCTCTCCAGAGGCGCTTTCGCCCACAGGAGTCCCTGGGGAAAGAGTTACCAGACGAACCGGATTTCGCTCACACCAAGCCTCTCGTCAATCCTCCCCAGCTTCCGCGCACCAGTCCCGCTCCGCATCTCCAAACCTCCGACAGCCGCTGATCGCCCTCCAGCGCCGATCCGACGGCTCTCCTTCCGCCACGCCATCTCGTGGCAATGAGCCTAATCTCGTGCGGAGCAGCAGCAGCGGATTTGCAGGATGGCGCCGCAGACGTCCAGCCAGCCCTGCTGCTTCTATTAATAGTATTACTTCTAATAATATCACTGCCGGTAGTATTACTACTCGTTCTACTACAAGTGTTGCTACTGCTAAAGGTAGTACCCGAAATGCACCAGTGCTGCCGACCACTCGAGCACGCCTTATCAGCACGGCAACAGCAGCTGGAGCAGCAGAACGAGCAGCACAAGCAGCAGCAGCAAGCGTGCCAGCACCAGGATCCCAAACCAGCCGCCCGAGCCTCGCCAGGCTTCCGAGCCTGGGAAACCTCCCGAGCCTCACAAGCCCGAGGCAAGGCGAAGTCACGTCTTCAGCCCAAGGCAAATCTCTGGGTGAGATTCTGAGGAGGCAGAGGGAGGAGGGTGGGGGGCATGGAGGGGGGGTGTACTCAGGAGAATTCCTTAAAGCCCGCCTTGCTCGGAGCGCCAGTGCCTCCCGTGCCTCCCTGCTGCAATCCCAAGGGAGCAATTCCCGGGGAATCGAATCCCAAGAAACCAAATCTCGAGGATTGGAATCCGAAAGGCTGGCGCAGAAGGGGGAGCATGGAGGCTCAGCCTTCACCAGAAATGGCCTTACCCAGATAACGCCTGCTAACATGTCCCTTTGGAGGCACCGTGAAAGCAGCAGCAACAGCAGCAGTAGCAGCAGCAAGCACGGGTGGCATGGGCATACAGGGATGGGACAGGGCTTGAGTAAGAGTGGCTGGGGTGGTAGAGGCAGTGGGGTTCGGTCCAACCTGATGGCCAAAACCAGCCGGCCAGTCAGTTTCCTGACGGCTAGCAGTAGAGGGATGGAAGACGCTGAGGAAACGGATTCTGGTGGGATTCTGACGGCCAGGAGTGCGGATTCTGGCGGTTTGACAGATTCTGTTTGCTTCACGGATCCTTTGATGAATTCTGTTAGCTTGACGGATCATTTGACGGATTCTGTTTGCTTGACGGATCCCTTGACGGATTCTGTCAGCTTGGCAGGTAACAGTTCGATGGACGTGAGCGGGAAGCATCTGATGGATGAGATGAGTCGAGTCAGCATGTCAAGCCAGGTCAGCATGGGGTACAGCCACGTCAGCAAGGGATCCAGCCAGATCAGTGCTGGCTCAAGCCACGTTGACAGCATTGCCGAGTCATCAACATCCTCCTCAAGCCACGTCAGCAGGGCGTCCATGTCAGCATGGTCGCCACGTAGGCTCGGGAGCCCCCTCAGGTTCGGCAGCCCGTTTGGTTCGTGGAGGACCAGCAGCCGCAATTCCGAAGCTAGCAGCAGTCGTGACAATAAAGAGAGTGGTGACAGTAATGGGAGTGACCGTAGCAGGGTGGGCAGCAGCAGCAGGGTGTCATCAACACGTGACAATAACGAGGGGAAGAGGAGGTATGGCAGCGCCAAAAGAGCTTTGGATAGTTCTCGTAGGGATGGGTGGATCAGCAGTGGTAAGAAGCTTCCTGGAATCAGCGCTGATGTCAGCTTCGTCAGCACTGACATCAGCCACGTCAGCAATGATTCTAGCTGTGACAGCAGTTACGTCAGCCACGTCAGCAAGGATGTCAGCTACATCAGCAGCACCATCAGCGGCAGCAGGAATCTAACCAATCCCAGCGCGCCATATCATGATGATGTCAGCTACACAGACGATGACATCAGCAACCCAAGTGGGAACATTGATGCCAGCAGCCGCATCAGTACACTCCGTACCCCTTATAGTCCCACCGGCAGCAGCGCGAGCAGCAGCGGGACGACAAACAACAGCAGGCGAACAGTCATACCGAAATTCGGAGAATGGTTGGACCCAAAACGCGATCACAACCGCACCATATACAATAAAGTGTCCACTCATAAAGTGTACGATGGTGGCCGTTACAGTACAGATAGAGATGTTACCAGCAGTGGTACCACCACCAGCATCAGCAGCAGCACCAAGCTTCGGAACCACCACCACCACCACCCCCTCCTCCAGAACACCAGCAGGAGTGAAACCAGTAGCACCTGCACCTGGAATAGCACGATCCACAGCAGCAACGACAGCAACAGTAGCAGACATACCTGCTACACCAGCCACATCAGCCACTCCAGCAACAGCAACAGCCGGTACACTGGCGATTTACAGAGCAGAGTGAGGAGGGAGAACGCAGACACGGAGTCTAGAGGTAGAAGCAGCAGCAGCAGCAGCAGCAGCAGATATACCAAGAGCAACTACAGCAGCAGCTATTGCAGCAACCACAGCAGTAGTTACAGGAGCGGTCCTGCTTACAGTGGCATGGGGAGCGCCAAGTCTGGAAACAGTGGTGGTTCTGGTGCTGTTTCGAGCATCAGACATGCTGTTTGTGCTGCTGTTGGGGACTATGATATTCGCAGCAGCACAGGTACCAGCAGCGGCACAGCTGGTGGGGGCTGTGATGGAAAGGGGTATGGTCCTAGGGAGATGGAAGGAAGAGAGGGTTTTTGGAGGGGAGAGGAGGAGGTAGATTCCCAGGAAGATTTTCCCTACTCTGAGGTGTTTGAGAGGGCGAGGAGAGAGACGAGATCAAGGAGAGAGTCAGAAACTGATGAGACGTCTCAAGGGGAAGATTTAGAGGTGTTTGAGGCGAATCAGAGGGATATAAGGGAGGAGAGAGAGGCGCTGGAGGGGTTTCCTTACTCAGAGGTGTTTGAGAGGGCAAGGAGAGAGGGGCGCGAGATACAGGCTGCAAGGGGTAGCGTGGAAACAAGCGCGAGTGTGGGGTTAGCAGCAGCAAGAGAGACAACGAGGATAGGAGCAGCAGAAAAAGCAGCTGTGGGTGTGGCGGCAACAAGAGAAGCGCTTTTGTCGTGTGAGAGTAGTGGAGAGGCAGCGAGGTTGCAGCAGAGAATGGTGAGGGAGATGGCTGCTGGGCGGTTAGTAGGAGGAGAAAAAGGAGGAGGAAGCGGAGGAAGAAGGGTCGAAACAGGGGGGCCGGGAGGAGAGAACAGGTTCGGTTCTGACCCTTCCGAACCTCTGCAAGTGGCGAGGGATAGGTTGGGAATTGGGACAGTTGGGGAGGAGCAGGAGAAGGGAGGAGGGCAGGAGGGAGAGGAGGAGAGGGGGAAGGGGGATATGGAGGAGAGGGGAGACGTGGAGAAGAGGAAGGATGATGGATGGCACGTGGGGGAACCAATGGAAATGAACAGGAGAAAACAGCCCAATGGAGTGGCAGTGCTGCTCCCCGAAGCTGCTGGAGAACCCACTTCCAACGATGCTGGGATGAACGCCAGTGGTGGCTCTGTGCTGAGTTTTAGTGCTGCAGGGCTGCATACCCGTGGGGGCTTGGGTCCCAGCTCAAATGCCCCAGGGCTGTGCAGGAGTGTGAGTGTCGGGGTGGTGGAGTGGGGGCGGGGGAGTGAGGGTGCGGCCAGGGGGCTGAAGCAGATCAGTGAGTGGCTGGAGCGGCAGGAGGAGGAGGGGGCGGGGGAAGTGGGCAGTGGGGTGAGTGAAGTGAGAGTGGTGAGTGGGATGAGTGAGGCGCAGGGGAGTAAGGGGTCTGTGGTTGGACGGGGAGATGCTAGTGTGGTTGTGCCTAGCACCTCGTTTCCATCCACTCACAGCGTGGTTCGCATCACCCCAGCTCTTCAGGAGCCCTCACAGCGGCAATTCTGGAGGAACCTGCCTCTCGCCCTGCCTACAGCCCCTGCTGCAGCATCAGCAGCAGCAGAAGGAGCAGCAGCAGGAGGAGCAGCAGCAGGAGGAGCAAGTGGAGCAGGCGCAGTAGTGCTCCTCTCACAGGACTCCGATGCAGCATCTGCATCAGCATCATCATCATCGTCATCAGCAGCAGCAGCAGCAGCAGCAGCAGCAGCAGCAGCAGCAGCAGCAGCAGCAGCAGCAGCAGCAGCAGCAGCAGCAGCAGCAGCAGCAGCAGCAGCAGCAGCAGCAGCAGCAGCACCACCACCACCACCACCACCACCACCACCACCACCCACAACAGCGGCACCACCACCACCACCAATCCCACCCATATCAGTAGGAACCACATCGCTGCTCCCTCTGAAGCTATCCCATCCCTTTCAAAGGACTCTCTCGGGCAGCCGAATGCTTCCGGGCAGGCCGTCGGGCAGCTGGGAAAACATATCGATGGGCGGAGACTTGGAGGATGGTGGGGCTGGGCAGTTGGTTGGTGGGCAGCTGAGCCGAGTGCGAGTGAGCGACTATCAGATGCTTCAAGCCCACAAGGTGAGATAGCAGAAGGTGAGATAGCAGAAGGTGAGATAGCAGAAGGTGAGATCGCAGAAGGTGAGATCGCAGAAGGTGAGATAGCAGAAGGTGAGATCGCAGAAGGTGAGATCGCAGAAGGTGAGATCGCAGAAGGTGAGATCGCAGAAGGTGAGATAGCAGAAGGTGAGATCGCAGAAGGTGAGATCGCAGAAGGTGAGATAGCAGAAGGTGAGATAGCAGAAGGTGAGATCGCAGAAGGTGAGATCGCAGAAGGTGAGATAGCAGAAGGTGAGATCGCAGAAGGTGAGATCGCAGAAGGTGAGATAGCAGAAGGTGAGATCGCAGAAGGTGAGATAGCAGAAGGTGAGATCGCAGAAGGTGAGATCGCAGAAGGTGAGATAGCAGAAGGTGAGATAGCAGAAGGTGAGATAGCAGAAGGTGAGATAGCAGAAGGTGAGATAGCAGAAGGTGAGATAGCAGAAGGTGAGATCGCAGAAGGTGAGATCGCAGAAGGTGAGATAGCAGGTGAGATCGCAGAAGCTGAGATCGCACAAGGTAAGTTCACACAAGGTAGTACCCCTCACCGTACCCTCATCTCAGTGGGGACTTAGGGGATAGTGGACGGGTTGGGCAGGTGATTTGTGAGCAGCTGAGCAGACTGCGAGCGAGCGACTATCGAATGCTGCAAGCCCACAAGGTGAGATTGCAGAGGATAGAACCCCCCTCCACATATCCTTCATTCCACACATATCCCACGGATATGATCATCGAGCATTCTAATGAGTGGATTCGAAGGTTCCTCTCTAAGCATCTCTGAGACATCTCAAATCTCTTGAGACCTCTCTAAGGAGTGTATGAGTGAGCCTCTTCCCTACTGCTCCCTGCCCTCCTCCCTCTATTACCCTCCAATCTCTCCCATGTGTAGTGAGGAGGCATGCCATGTCGGAGTTACATTTGAGTGATCTCAAAATACCTTTCCCCCTCCTCAACCTCCAATCGGTCCCATGTGAACAGGCATCCCCATGGCGCATGTGCTGTGGCCTGCCCTCCGTGCTGCCATGAACGACATGTCACCATGCAGCCATCCCAAGTGCATGGTGTTATGAGCCCACATGCCACCCCGCTACTGCTGGTATTCCTGCTGCTGCTGTTACTGGCTCTACTGCTATACTTCAGCTGCCCAAACAGTTCGATAATACGACTACCATTGTCTGGTTTGTTTCTTGTACTGAGAACCTGTAATTTCTCATCAGCAGTTCATCCAAAATGGGTACAACAGAACTGTTACCATTTCCAGCATCTCTTCTCTGCCCACTGAAATAGTATCTACCTACAAGAAACACAAAATCAAGAACAGTAGAACCACCCAGTGCCCAGGTCACTTGCCATGAAGGACACACTAGTGCTCCCATCAACAGCTGTTGCCCTTCCATTCCACCCACCCACCAGCCTCATCTTTCCCATACCGTAACGGTAAAAAACAAATCGTGTAATTTATCCAACACCTTCAGTTGCTCAGTAAGCCACCCCACACAAATTCAAGGGCCACTCTTCCCTTTGACTCCTCACCCTTTTCTCCCTCCTGCCCCAACTTCCAATCCTCCTTCAATCTTTACCCTCCAGACCTCCTCCCGCGGCCCGCCCCTCCACTCTTACCACCGTAATGATCTCTTTCAAGTCTCAGCCCCCTTTTGAGACGTCCTAAAAGCCCTCCAAACCTCCTCCTGCCGCCCCTCCACTCTACACTGTAATGATATTTTCAAGTCTCTTCCCCCTTTCTCTGCCCCCTTTCTCTGCCCCCTTTCTCTGCCCCCTTTCTCTGCCCCCTTTATCTGCCCCCTTTCTCTGCCTCAGAAATCACTCCCTCACAAGGTCAGCACCCCCAACGCCACTCCTGCCTACTTCAAGTCCTTCCCCTCTTTTTCTCCCGATCCACTTCATGCCGCCGCTTCGCCTCTCACTCGTCCCCTCCCTCAGCTTTCACCAGTTTGTTGGCTCATCACTACACTCCCTTACAAGGTCAGAACCTCCAAAGCAAGCCCAGCCTTCTTCAAGTCCTCTTCAAGCCGCCCCTTGGCCTCGGCCTCATCCTTTCCCTCCTCGGTCACCACCTTACCCAGCCCCGTCGCCCCCGCTTTCCTCAAAACCTCCACCACCCCCTCCCCTTTCCCCGCCTCGCTCCCCTCAATCGCCTTAACAGCAGCCACCACCACCGCCCGCCTCCTCCCGCCATCATACGACATTTCACACACCGACTTGAGTAAGCCAAAATCCGCCGCCCCGGCCGCCACAAAGCCGCCCAGCCACTCCCCCAGGAATCTCGGCGCCTGGGGCACGTCCAGCGCCAGGTCATCGAGCTGCTCGGCCAATGAGAGCATGCCAGCTGTCAGCGCGCTCTCGCCCTTCTCATTAGCTGCGAACGCGCCCTTGGAGTGCAGGTGGGAGAGCAGCCGCCCCACCTCCACGCACTCCTTCTCCTTGCCGCCCTCCAGGGCGAAATTCGCCGCAAATTCAACGAATCGGGACGAAACCTCGTGGGATTTCTGCGAGCCAAGCTCCTCCATGCACAGCTGAGCCTCCTTAAGATCCAGCACGGCGAAAAACTCCTTGAGAAGCGATTCAGACTTCCTCTTTGCCACATCATCCCACGTGCCCGATGCTGCTGCTGCTGCTGCTGGCTTCGCTGCTGCTGCTGCTGGGCCGTTGCTAACAGCGGCAGGGGCGGCGGGGGCAGCGGCAGCAGCAGGCTTGGGAGCCACAGGTTCGGCTGGTCTGACCGGAGCAGGCTTGGCACCAATCAGAGCGCTTGGCTTGCCGATGAACGCCGACGAGCCTCCCATTCCCGGACCCATACCTGGGCCCATTTTGAGCCCCATGCCTGGCCCCATGATCGGTACCGAACCTGCAGCTGCAGCTCCCTGCCGAGCCTGCCCGGCAGCTCCGGCAGTATCCTTCTTCCCACGCCGACCAATAGAAACCGTTTCCCACCCATCCAAATCCACAGGAGGCACCATTCCTGCCACCAAGCCTCCGGGCATGCCCGGCATCCCCGGACCTCCGGGCCAGCCAGGCCCGGGAGGGAACATCATCCCCGGACCTCCGGGCATGGCTCCCGAGGCTGCGCCGACCCTGAGCGAGGCAGCGCCCTTCCTCAGCCCGAGCGTAGCTTCAGCTTCAGCGTGAATCTGGTCCAGCTTCTTGGCTGTGAGCTCCTTCCTACGTGGCACCCACTTATTGGACCGCAGGTCGACCAGATCGCGGCACATGAAGCGGATGCGAGAGGGGAGGTTCGGCGAGGCCGCGAGGGCTTTAAGGCGGTCGAAGTAGGCATTGAGCAGCACGGGGTTGCCGGCCTTGCCGGCCGGTTTCTCCTCCATGCCTCGCCCTGCCGTGGCCAGCAGCTGGCAGAGCGCCTCGATGTTCTCCTCTGGAGGCTCTGTCTTGCTGTCGCCTTGCAGTTCCTGAAGTGAGAGTCGAGGGGGGAGGAGGAGAAGGGAGAGAGGGCAGAAGAATGGGCAAAGGGAAGGTAGAAAGGGTGCGAAAAGGTGAGGCGGCGAGGGCTTTAAGGCAGTCAAGGTAGGCGTTGAGCAGGACGGGGTTGCCAGCCTTGCCTGCCGGTTTCTCCTCCATGCCTCGCCCTGCCGTCGACAGCAGCTGACAGAGCGCTTCGATGTTCTCCTCTGGGGGCTCCGTCTTCCTGTCGCCTTGCAACTCCTGATGAGGGTGAGGGAAGGGGAGAGCAAGGGGGAAACGGGGGAGAGAAAGGGAGGAGCGCAGAAAGGTTAAGGAGGTTCGAGGGGAGAGCAGAAGACAGCAGCTGGCAGAGCGCTTCGATGTTCTCCTCCGGGGGGGCTCCGTCTTGCTGTCTCCTTGCAGTTCCTGCTTAGGGGTGGGAGGGGATGGGGGACGGGATGGGAAAAGGGTGCGAAAGAGCATCAGAGATGGGGAAGCAATGGGAAGAAAGGACAGCAGCTGGCAGAGCGCCTCGATGTTCTCCTCTGGGGGCTCCATCTTGCTGTCTCCTTGCAACTCCTGATGAGGGGAGGAGGGGAGAGGACGGGGAGACGACAGGGGACACGGGAGAGAGAGTGGGGGAATGGGGAGACGGAGAAAGCAGTAAGGTTAAAGAGGCGAGCGGGGAAGGGGCAACGGGGTTGGCCTTGCCGGCCGGTTTCTCCTCCATGCCTCGCCCCACGGTGGCCAGCAGCTGGCAGAGCGCCTCAATGTTCTCCTCTGGAGGCTCTGTCTTGCTGTCACCTTGCAACTCCTGAGAGGGGGGGGGGGAAGGGGAGCTTGTACGTCAAGGCAAGTCCGTCAAGGCAAGTCCGTCAAGGCAAGTCCGTCAAGGCAAGTCCGTCAAGGCAAGTCCGTCAAGGCAAGTCCGTCAAGGCAAGTCCGTCAAGGCAAGTCCGTCAAGGCAAGTCCGTCAAGGCAAGTCCGTCAAGGCAAGTCCGTCAAGGCAAGTCCGTCAAGGCAAGTCCGTCAAGGCAAGTCCGTCAAGTCAAGTCCGTCAAGGCAAGTCCGTCAAGGCAAGTCCGTCAAGGCAAGTCCGTCAAGGCAAGTCCGTCAAGGCAAGTCCGTCAAGGCAAGTCCGTCTCTACAACCTCTCTCAACGGCAGGGTGTCCTTGTCTCCACACTGTCCCTGCTCATTATTCCCCACCCACCCACCCACCCACAAGGGAATCACCATCTGTTTCAATAGCTCACTCTCACTTGTGTGTCAGCCAGACAGCTAGTTGCTCACTCTCACTCGCGTGTCAGCCAGACAGCTAGTTGCTCACTCTCACTTGCGTGTCAGCCAGACAGCTAGTTGCTCACTCTCACTCGCGTGTCAGCCAGACAGCTAGTTGCTCACTCTCACTCGCGTGTCAGCCAGACAGCTAGTTGCTCACTCTCACTCGCGTGTCAGCCAGACAGCTAGTTGCTCACTCTCACTCGCGTGTCAGCCAGACAGCTAGTTGCTCACTCTCACTCGCGTGTCAGCCAGACAGCTAGTTGCTCACTCTCACTCGCGTGTCAGCCAGACAGCTAGTTGCTCACTCTCACTCGCGTGTTAGCCAGACAGCTAGTTGCTCACTCTCTCTGCCCTATGCCCTCTTGTCTCTCCCACTGCCACCAGCCTGTGTTCCCTGTTAACTGACTCCCCTTATAAACACAGTGCCTGAGCGCATGCATGAACCATCTTCCCCGGAATCACCTTCTGCTAGTACAGCTCTTCAATCAGCCCAGTGTTGCTTGCCTCAGATGCTACTCGACTTTGTAACCCCCGCTGTTACTTGCATCAGATACTACCTTTCTTTGTGACCTGCCACCTGTCCCACACAGTACCTGAGCGCACGCATGAACGATCTTCTCAGGAATCATCTTCTGTTTGTACAGCTCTCCAATCAGCCGGATGTTCCCCTGCGTGCGAGCCTTCACCCGCCGCTGCACGTCCTCCCTCTCCTCCGCCTGCCACAAGGATAGAAAGAGGCATGACGCGGAGGGCAAAGGGCAAAGGGGGCATCACTCAGTGTGATGAGGGGCATGGCATGGCAGGGAATGCGCACAACAAAGCAGCACGAACCCGAAACCCGAAACCCCGCCTCAAACTCCTTATAATTCCTCATGCACATGTACAGCCGGATCCGCCGGAACCACCCCCATACCTCCCACCCTCCTTTTCCCCCACCCCCCTGGTTTTCCCCTTCCAGAACCCTACCCTGCCAGCCTGCTCCGCCTTGGTCAATCCCTTCAACTCCTGCCGCAGCTTCAGCGCCTGCTCAAACTCCTCCTGGCACGTTCAGCAGGATACAGAAACACCCCCATTCCCCCACTCCATTTACAAGGTTTAACCAATCACACCCTCACCTGCTCCGCCTTGGTCAATCCCTTCAACTCCTGCCTCAGCTTCAGCGCCTGCTCAAACTCCTCCTGGCAGGTATTCAACAGAATCCTCCTGAAAGTAACTGGCTTGTCCGACCCTTCTGGCCCCGGGAACTGCGGCAGCGCGTGGGAGAGCTTGTCGCAGAGCTCGGCGTACATGGGGCAGAACGTGGGCTCGTCCACGGCCTTGTCGAAGATGAGCGAGATCACCTCCTGCAGTCGCTCTGCTGAGGTGATGCCCGACTCGAGCATCTGCTGCAGCAGCACGTCAAACTTCTCGGGGGTGAGCTTGTTCAGAATGCTGGAAGAGGGGGGAGGGGCGGGGGAGGAGCAGGGGAGTTGGGGTAGGGGGCGGGGGGGGGGGGAGGGGGGGACGGGCCAACATGCATGGGTCAGGCATGGGGCAGAACGTGGGCTCGTCCACGGCCTTGTCGAAGATGAGCGAGATCACCTCCTGCAGTCGCTCTGCTGAGGTGATTCCCGACTCCAGCATCTGCTGCAGCAGCACGTCGAACTTCTCGGGGGTGAGCTTGTTCAGAATGCTGGGAAGGAGGGTAGGGAACGGGGGGTGGTTGGGCGGGAGGAGCGGGGAACAAGGCACACAGGCACAGGTCAGGCATGGGGCGGGCACTGGGCGGGCACAGGGGGCGGGGCATGGGTGTGAAGGTGGGCTCGTCCACGGCCTTGTGGAACATGAGCGAGATCACCTCCGCGGAGGTGATGAGAGCTCTTTCCTTGGCTCCGCTTTCAAGTTCATTCCCCCTTGCCTCACCTTCTCTTCAGCCTATCCCTCCTATGCCGTCCCCCATGCCTCGCCCCATACCCATACCTCCCACCCCATCCCTCCCCCTCTACATTTCCCCATGCCTCGCCCCATATCTACCCCCATACCTACCCCCATACCTACCCCCTCATACCTCCCCCCATACCTCTCCCCATACCTCCCCCCATACCTCCACCCATGCCTCCCCCCATGCCTCCCCCCATGGCCCCCCCTTACTCACCCCTTGACAGTTCGCAGAACCTTCTCCTTCTCGTCCACGGCTCCGCGACGTGGCATCCACGGATTGGCCGCCTTCACTATGGGCACCGCAGGGCCGTCCGCCTGGAGAAGGGGGGGAGGGGAGAGGGAGGGGAGAGAGGGAGAGGAGGAGCGTGGCACATTAACTCGTGCATCCACGCATTGGCCGCCTTCACTACGGGCACCGCAGGGCCGTCCGCCTGGGCGTATCGGGAGAAAAGAAGAGGGGAGGGGAGGGGAGGGGAGGGGAGGGGAGGGGAGGGGAGGGGAGAAAAGCGGAGGGGAGGGGAGGGGAGGCGAGAGGAGAGAAGCAGAGAGAAGAGGAGGGGAGGGGAGGGGAGAGAGAGGGGGGAGGGAAGGGGAGAGAGAGAGCATTTAAGGAAAAACCCGCGCGCCTGATTGCATGCCGATAAAAGGAGCACCCAGCGATTCGGGTGGAGCAGCAAGCACAAGAGAGTGCAAGAAGAAATTGGGGACGGGAGAGTGGGTGAAAGACAACAAATTTCCGCCACTCGCATTCCCACCACTGCCACTCACATTCCCACCACTGCCACTCACATTCCCACAACTGCCACTCGCATTCCCACCACTGCCACTCACATTCCCAGCCTGTCCCTGCTGCTGCTGTTGCTGCTGCTGTCCCCCCTGCTGCTCCCCGCGGCTCTGCCAATCCCGCTCTCCGCCTCCCCGCCCGCCTCCGCCTCCCCGTCCACCTCCGCCGCCGCGCCCGCGCTCGCGCTCCTCCTGCGGGGAGAGCGATTGCCGCGCGCGCCAGTCGCGGTTGTCCGGAGCCTCGGGCGCGCGCGCCTGGACATATCGAAGGGGAACGGGAAGAGGAAGGGGAACCGGAGGAGGAAAGGGAACGGGAGAGGAAGGGGAACGGGAAGAGGAAGGGGAACCGGAGGAGGAAAGGGAACCGGAGGAGGAAAGGGAACCGGAGGAGGAAAGGGAACGGGAGAGGAAGGGGAACGGGAAGAGGAAAGGGAACGGGAGAGGAAGGGGAACGGGAGAGGAAGGGGAACGGGAGAGGAAGGGGAACGGGAGAGGAAGGGGAACGGGAGAGGAAGGGGAACGGGAGAGGAAGGGGAACGGGAAGAGGAAGGGGAACGGGAAGAGGAAGGGGAACGGGAGAGGAAGGGGAACGGGAAGAGGAAGGTGAACGGGAGAGGAAGGGGAACGGGAAGAGGAAGGGGAACGGGAAGAGGAAGGGGAACGGGAGAGGAAGGGGAACGGGAAGAGGAAGGGGAACGGGAAGAGGAAGGGGAACGGGAAGAGGAAGGGGAACGGGAAGAGGAAGGGGAACGGGAAGAGGAAGGGGAACGGGAGAGGAAGGGGAACGGGAAGAGGAAGGGGAACGGGAAGAGGAAGGGGAACGGGAAGAGGAAGGGGAACGGGAAGAGGAAGGGGAACGGGAAGAGGAAGGGGAACGGGAAGAGGAAGGGGAACGGGAAGAGGAAGGGGAACGGGAAGAGGAAGGGGAACGGGAAGAGGAAGGGGAACGGGAAGAGGAAGGGGAACGGGAGAGGAAGGGGAACGGGAAGAGGAAGGGGAACGGGAAGAGGAAGGGGAACGGGAAGAGGAAGGGGAACAGGAAATGGCTAAATTGTGTGGAGAGAGCGTGCAGGACAGGAAATTGAGCCGGGGAAGACGGGGAAGGGGGTAAGGGAGGGGAGAGTTTGGGGATGGGGAGGAGTGGGAGCGGGGAAGAGCGTGAAAGGCCACACAAGGAAGGGGAACGGGAAGAGCGTGAAAGGCCACACAAGGAAGGGGAACGGGAAGAGCGTGAAAGGCCACACAAGGAAGGGGAACGGGAAAGCGTGAAAGGCCACACAAGGAAGGGGAACGGGAAGAGCGTGAAATGCCACACAAGGAAGGGGAACGGGAAGACGGGGAAGACGGGGAAGTCGGGTAAGAGCGGAAGAGGGGAGAGTGGAGGGAGTGAGAGAAGTAAAGGGGGGGAGCGTTTTCCAGCAGCGGCAGAGACGGGAACGTCTGGGACGTTCACCTCCGGGGCCGCATGGGGCTGACTAATGAGTACACTATCAAGTTGACTTGAGCGTCGACTTGTAAGTCGAATCAAAACTCGTCTGCGGCATGACGCTCACCTGCTGCCCGCACTGCGCTCACCTGCTGCCCGCGCTCCGCTCACCTGCTGCCCGCGCTGCGCTCACCTGCTGGCCTGCGGGCTGCGATGGCGGCGGCGCGCTCCTGCGCGACGACCAGTCGGGCTCCGCCGCGGCGGACGAGGCGCGCCCCGCGGACGACGCAATGATGTCGCCGCCGGTGTTCAGAATCTCGGGAGGGATGTCCGCGCACTTCTGCGATGGGGGCGGGGAGAGAGGGGGGGAAGAGGGTGGGGGAAGGTGAACATCAGTCAGAAGCAGGAAATACCCACTCAGGCGTTAAAATTATTACCTGACGTGACGGCACAAAATCCAACCTTGAAACCCAAATGAACAGTCGTTGCAACAAATGCCGACCTTACGTTTCGTTACAACCAGTACCTACCGTACAGATCGTTGCAACGAGTACGGTATCCCATCTCACCTCACGGTACCCCATCTCACCTCACAGTACCCCATCTCACCTCACAGTACCCCATCTCACCTCACAGTACCCCATCTCACCTCACAGTACCCCATCTCACCTCACAGTACCCCATCTCACCTCACAATACCCCATCTCACCTCACAGTACCCCATCTCACCTCACAGTACCCCATCTCACCTCACAGTACCCCATCTCACCTCACAGTACCCCATCTCACCTCACGGTACGCCAGCAGCTCGTCCCTCGAATACTTGACTCGCGGCCCCTTGGGACCATCGTCCTGTGTGTGTGTGACACGGGAGGGCAGAGACGGTGAAGAAAAGGGCGGGGTTGGGAGCACAAGCGGAGGCATCACACAGAGAGAGAAATTGAGTGAGACGGCACTCGAGGAATCCGACGGTGCTTGGCTAGTCGGCAACTATATTCTAACCCGCATATGATGGTGAGGTGTGACTGAGTCAGAGTCTTGAGGCGCATTAAAAGATGCGCCGGTCAGTATCTATGCCCCGCTACGATATCAAGGATGAACCTGCGCGCTCGACCCCGGCCGCAAGTAGAACCCCGACGGCTTGCCCCATCGGTAACTTACCAGCCCGCTCGATCCATCCGCTCCCGGACGCACGTAGAGCCCCGACGGCTTGCCTCCTCCCGGGCGCAGCGACAGCCCTCCGCCCAGCCCGCCGCCCCCCGGCCTCAAGCTCACGGCGGCCGGCGCTGCTGTGCGACGCCACGCGAATCATGCGACGCATGCGATCAATGGGTTGGGGCGGAAGGAGGATACGTTGGGGAGGGGGGAAGGAGAGGGGGTGGGGTATGGAGGGGAGAGAGGGGGGGGCGTCATCGCGAGGGATGACCCCAGACCCCATGAACGGGCATCGATGTAGTGTTACGGATGCAACAGATACAACGTAACAGATGTACCCGGCATTTTCTGTAAGAAAGATGTGGGACAATGTGGCGGAAGAAGCTGCCGCTTTGGGAATACCATGTGCGCAAGTAGCGAAGCAAAATGTGTTCAGTGAAGCAGACACGGTAAGCAACAAAACCGTGCTTAACAGAAGAACCCAGATAGATGCTTGACAGCTGGACGACATGAAACCTGCTGGTGAGGGTGCTTCTACAGTGAAAATGCAGGTGAGACATGAAAGAAGCTTCTGATGCCTCCCGATACTGTAGCTGGAGGAGTAAATAATGTCAGCCAGATTTTACTTGCATTTAAAACCCGTTCTGATTCCGGCTTAAACCTTGAAGATCATAGAGCAGACGAAGATAAAGGCACAGGACGCACAAACTCCGTTTTAACTGGATTTACCCTAGCCTAATACTTTCTGACCTGTCGCGGCCGATCCGAAAACCTTGAGATTCTATCTTGATTCTCGCTGATGGCGAAAAATCAAGAAAACTCACTCCAAAGCCTTTACCCGAATTTTTTTTGGATATAACCCTAATCCTAAGCGGGTATAGTGCGAGTTCATCCAAGAGGGAGCTTATGCGAATAAGCCATGAAGAAAAGAAAATTGCTTCACGAACCACGGAGGACCATGCAGCTACGACTATGGAAGAGAAAGCGACACGAAGAGATGCATCCTCAGTTTCAATAAACTCGCTGTCGGGGCGGAATGCGGTATGAAGAGGTGGGTGCACCTTTGGTCTCAGAAGCTGCAGCCTGAGAACTATCCGAAGCGGGCTTCGCGTCAGCGGCGGCGGCGGCGGCGGCAGCGGAAGCTTGGTCGTTGTCAACACCAGCCATATCAAGCACGATGACAGTTTAAGAAATCGAAGATTACGGTGTCAAGTATCCTGCAGCCTGTGTCGACTACAATTCAAGCTAACCGAGGCAGTCTGTAAATATGTCGTGGGAGGGCTAACGACAGCTAACGACGGTCAACGACGGCTAACGACGGATAACGGACGGCTACGGCGTGTAATCTCAGCTTGGCTTAGAGCCTCCCCTAGGCTTCGCGATGTACGGTGCTTATGCACCCCTGGGCTGGATGGATGCTACCCTCTCTGCGTAGAGAGACTGGGCCTGACAGGGTCCCACGAGAGAAGTGAAGGGATGTGCTCCTCCTGCTCCACCCACGTGCCTTGTTCCAAAAGACAGCAGCAGCAGCAGCAGCGGGAGTCGTAGCAGAAGCAGGAGCAGAAACAGCCACCACTTTCTAATGGGTGCCGTTGGTTTCGGCCTGTTCCAATACGGTATTGTTTGGTACTTTGTTTCTGAATAGCTTACCAGTCTAGAGATTTGTTCCACTTCATTCCGAGCCGTGCCCAGCCTATCCCAGAGCCATTTGGAGATCGCATGGGTGTTGCCAGCAGGGAAAGAAATGTCAGCCTCCAGGATCAACTTCTGGCTGGATGAGGTACTTGATTGCAATGAAAGTACCTTTTGGGCGTTGTTTTGGGCCTGGATCAGAGGACACGATTTGCATAGTGAAGTAAGAACAATGTATTAACAGCATGAAACATATGATATTAAAATATCATGTACAGTGAATGTCGGCTAGTATGTAGACATGGTGTCTAAAGTAAAATACATATTTAGTAACTTAAATATACATAGTTTTTCCTGTTCAATTTATACCAATGTCGTAAATCATCTATGAATCGTTTGAATATGCTTAATTTTATTCCTAATTTTTTTAACTAATATATTCCTCGATAATTTATAATTAACGATAATCCATGGTCAAACCTAGCACTCTATAGATTCTATGTCGTGTAAGCTTCCATACAGCAAAGAATGCAGATATTGACAATGAATGGGTATGTGTATAAGAGAAGCACTGGCGAATCGCGACGGACCTTCAACAATCGTTCACAACAGGTTTCCTCAGTGCACTGTAGCCGAACTGCTAGAAGCCAACTGTCGTTTTTGACCATATATCGTGTACAGTATCTAATCTGTTCACCGTAACGTGATGCCGACCGATGTGTCAGCTTTGCCCACTGCAGGAGAAGGATGGCTTCCACATGAACTGTAGAACTTGCATTCGGTTCTGGACTCAAGGGTGGTACCCCTATAATGACAAGTGTACTATTTTACCTGCATTTTGATATGCTATAGCCTCGTGAGATTGTCAATTTGTCCACGTTCAAAATGGGACCTCAATTTCCAGTGCAAAAGCTGGCAGGACCTGAAGGACGTGGTGTTTGTGTGCGAGAACGAAAGAGGGAAAGGCACGCTCGTTACTTTGATAGCTCCCACTGAGATGGGCTTGTAAGAGCGTATTACACCTGCCCGATTTTCAAGGATCCCGTAGTTGAGATCACCATCACCCCAACCCCAGGTTTATAGGTGGTCAAACAACAAGGTTTTGGGGCACATGGCGATCCTTGTAGGTGGTGATCCTCTGCGATAGGCGACATCGCCGGAAATTACGCGACGTCGCGAGAATATTAATTTTGCATTGACCATTCTGACCGTGTTAAGGACCGAGACGCAACCGCTTCATTGGCTCGAATTTCCATTTCAGAACATTTTGATTGGTAGCGACTATGCTACCGCTGTGCAATACAATTGCGACGGTCTATTTTTTCGTAAAAAGGGATCACCCTCTGAGTGGTACAGAGATGCAAAGATCGCCGTGAGATTGGTAGTCACCACGACTTTTTCGAAAATGCAAAGATTGGGTAGCGTAGACTACTCATGATTTCGATCCTCCCTCTGTTGGTACAGCACCTAATACAGTAATCACTGTACAGAAGTAGGTAAGGCACTGTTATGCAAGGGCGCCGAGACGAACCTCCATTTTTCGCGATCTTTACCTGGATGTACCACGCTCTAACTTCCCAGTGATGAACCTAAAAAAAAAAAAAAAAAAAATCGTCGATTTTAATCACTCATGGCAATCCAGCACGAGCTTGTTTTCCCGTACGTAACCGCGTAGTGTGAAATATTCATTCTGTTCGTTCTAAGCAGTGAGTGGAACTACAAGGTAAAAATTTGCTCAAAGGGTTCTCCATCATTGGACGGCTCAAGCACTCCGGTCTGGGGGAACGGAACGACCAGCTTTGTGAGGTGTGCTAGTTCGACACTCACTCAAAGCACCGAGCCTCGGCTGAGTGGACGAAATGACCACATGCACAGACGGCTGAGCTGGAAGTATTTTAGCCAATGGCGCTCTCTCGAAGTGCTAGGTCTGCTTAATGATCCACATACAGTTGAGTGTATTTGTTTGACCCGTTGTGAATTGTTTCCATTTGACATCCCCTAGCTGAACCCGGGTGGAAAGCACAACCTCTAAATACCGAGTTTAACTCTATATCCTTTTGGGGGCATCGAGTCTTCTAACCATGTTCCTTTCACCAGAACAGCAAACAAGAGCGGCAGACGTAACTGGGAAATGAGGAGCTCTGAACTTGATTTTCTTAGTCTGGTTCGTAACAGACCGCAACAGAAATTATCACATACCATTCTCATATACAGTGCAGAATGACAGTTCAGTACTGAACTGTACCATAATTTCAGTTCAGTCTGTAATTTACTGTATAATACATACAGTTATCACCCCGGCATCCAGCGTTTAGCCCTCTACGATGTGATGATGACCCATTTTGTGCCCCGATACAGAGGACACCCTGGCTTCCCGTCCCCGACGCGACGAGACGTGACCAGGGCTGTCGCTACCAGGGCGTTTGCCCTGCTGGACCTTGAATTGCAGGGCTGGGTCGCCATTGATTGAAAAACAATTGATGGGTTGAAAAAAAACTGGCCATGATTCTTTACAGGGCTGATTTGGGTCTTAGGCCTGGTGTATCAAGGGTAGAATTTAGGCGAGCCCTGGAACAAAATCATTCGAGCCCCCATCCCTCCCCCTTCCCAACTCCTCCACTGCCCCCTCCCCCCCGTTTCTATCCTGGTTGCATCCAACCTGGCAAATTTGGAGTTGTGTGGTTGGGCAAAAACCTCAGCTGCCCTTGTTGTAGTACTTGCGGAGTGTAGCCGTAAGCTTTGTAGTTGAAATGAGGCTGCAGAATTTTCGGCGCCAAACATGATCGAAGGGAGGAAAAAACTCCGGCCCTGAAGCCTAAAGGGCATGATTCGCCCCAACCCTGCTAAATACAGGGTCGTACATGCCGGGCCCCCTGATTTGTCCGGGGGGGCCAAAACCAAACGACAGGCCTGAACGTGACCGTCTCGAAATTGCCTTGTAAATAGCTGACATCATCGTCACCGTTAGTTGACGAAAGCATCACATGAAGCTTGCTCGAGGCCATGGCATCTAACGTAACGCTCGTTGAAATCGCTTGCTATTGATTCGCCAGCATTAAATTGCACAAAGCCCGTCCAGCTTGCCTGCTGTTGCTGAGACTTCCACCAAAGATACGGCCAGCTGGATGCTCGAAATATCTCCACAAGGCATCCGAGATGTAGATTCGGCTTACACAACAGTTCCCACGGTCAACCGCCAGAGACACCACCACCCCCTGCCTCAGTCAACACGGAAAGACCGCCTCGTAGCCGCATTTTCCGTGACTCCCCTCTTGCACATTCACCCCCGCGAAATCCACCACCATTCAGCCAAATCCCATCCATCCATCCTTCCATCAATTCCTCCCCCCTTGCTTCCATCCCGGAAAAGCCGACTTTATAACGTGATTGTTTCTACCGGTAGATACATTAACTCAAGTCCCCCGCGTCCTACCTATCCAAACAAACCAGCTACGTGCGTTGTATCGCTTGCCCCCTCTTCTTCCCCATTCCGCTAGAG